TCTTTCCTGCCTATGCAGGGGGTCGGACTCGATGACCTATTGAGGTCCCTTCCGACCCTAACATCTATGAACCTGAAAGCGAGATGCAGGAGATGCTGACTCAGGTTTGTAGTGTGGGTTTTGCAGCAAAGAGGAGTAGCAGTGCAGCCTGACATCTCCAGAAGGCAAGGAACTAAATGCAGTGGATGCCAAGGAGGAGGAAGGAAAGAGAAATCAATGTGGAGCAGCATTGTGGCTGTGCGTTGCTTTGCCAGCTAGCCCTAAAAGCTTTTGTTAATTAGATATGTGATCTCGGAGGAGGCTGGAAGCTGGAATTTACGTCACATTCTCCGGGTATGACCTCCGATATCCTTAACTGTCACAAAGTTCATGTGGAATTAAGCACCGAACCAGCTTTTTCTTAGTCTCTGTTGACACCTGTTATAAGGGGTGAGAGACTGACTTGTTCTTGTGAATTTAAACTCGGCCCACGTTCTGTCTGAAGTCCTGGTTGCATTAATAAATGGTTTGCCAATGGCTGTCCTGTTTGAAAACGTGACCTTTTTTAAAAAGTGGAAGTAGGTTATTTTTACTTTTGGACGTGACTGATCTCATTGTTGACCACATCTAAAATGGATGGGGCCATATAGCAGAGGGAAAGATAAGGTGGTGTCTTAGTGGGCTTAGTCTTCCTGGAGACGGGATGCTCCGGACAAGGCAGAAGGCTGAGAAGGGAAATGGAGGGATGGGGATGAGAAGTGCCTGGCCCACAATGACATGGCAGGTCATAGCGGAGGACTCCGGTCCTGAGTTCTGTTCACTAAAGCGTGCTGCTTTCTGTGCATCTTTACTTTGCATCCTCGTGTGAAAGAGCAACCTTTCCTCCTTCCTCAACAGCATCCTGCCCACTGGTGAGAGATCTGGGTTTGGCCAGCGGATGCCTCGCTGACTGTGCGCTCAGCACCATCCCAAGTCACTTGGCCCTGGCAGAAAGCTAACTTGATAGACAAGTTGGAGCCAGTGTGGTACTGACCAGTTGCTTTTTATTCTTTAACAAACTCGGAGCAAACTAGAAATGGGAGCCAGTCAGTGCAATAGCAGCCAGGCTTGCCAGACTCCTGGCAGGGGGCTGACAGGAGGTGCCCCGGGGATTTGTAGTCGATGCGGGCTGAGAATCCACTGTTCTGCTTCCTCTGATGTCGGGACCTGTTGAAGCCATGATGTTTCTTGAGGGGAATGAGCAGGCTACAGCGCTTGCCTTTCTTTGAACAGTACCTAATGTGAGCCCCCGGCGGTGGCACGCTGCCACTGAAGTGCCCACCATTCCCTTTGCAATGCCGTGCTTTGTGCTGTCTGGTAACGAGTCTCGTTGACAAGTTTAGATGCGGATAAAGGTTTGGAAAGCAGCTCCTGGCACTTTTGCTTCCAGTGAGGAGATAAAGCTTGGTTCATCTCTGTGCCGGCTGATTGACAGAGATTTCCTTTCCAAAAGACAGAGTTTTATAACCCAGTAGTAAAATTCAGTCACCGGGGGGGAAGGATTCTGTTAATCCACAGTAGAAGCACCCTATTTTTCACTCCTTGGGCAGTGTGGATGGTCGCCAAGTGCACTAGGAGAACCCGTGGGGAGCCAGCCCAATACAGCGAGCCATGCATCACTTGGAGGCAGATCCCAGAGCTTTTATGCAGCTTGGGGATGTTATGTGCGTGTGGCTTACTTTCCTTTGCTGAATCCTTAATTCTACGCACTAATACTGGATAGCTTGGTGCTTGCTTGGCCAGGTGGCACGGCCTCTGCATGTGAAGGCTAGAATTGACATGCAGGGGTTGAGTGATATAGTGCAAACCTTATTGGCAGCAAGGGAGCCCAGCAAAATGTGGAGCAGAAGTCATTAAGGGGACTGTAAAACCAGCTATTTCTGAATGAAATAAGTACCCAGAAACTGGCTCGTAATATAAAGAGCACGGTGAAGTTGCTGTCTTTGACCTAGGAGCTGCTTTGGGATTCATTAGGATACAGTAGTCATGGGCAAATGGCTTTCAAGTGCTGATGTTCTGTTTGAAATGGCTGTTTGCTTTCTGGCTCATGCTAAATGAGATTAGAAATTGTGATGAAGCGAGTCACGGTTCTGTGGCTGGCTGGTCCCTGTTGGCCCCTGCTTTTCAGTGTTCATTCAGCAGAGCCAAGCCCCTTGCAGACAGATCTCTCTCCACTGACATTAGGTGCTGTGTGAAGGCGAGTAAACCCAGGCCTTTGCGGGGCAGCATTAGGAGTTTTAGGAAGGTCGCTGAGGAGACTATTTGAACGATTGTCTTCCTGTTCTCTAAATATTCCCCATGTAGATCAGCCTTGCATTGAAAAAGGAGAGCAGTCACAATCAGCCCCCTCTTCTGCAGGAGAAGGGGGTTTATGTTGGGGTCTAAACCATGACCAACATCTGGACACCCAGGAGGAATGACTCTCCAAATCAGCTGGAGGGCAAGGGGGTGCCAGGCTTCTGTCTGCTGGTGCAGGCTGGGCCCGCTGGGATGAATTCATGGGTTCTGGAGGTCTTTGCAGAATCCAGCCCAGCCCAGCAGCATGACCGACCTAGAGTTCATCCCATCTCCCAAGCTTAAAGCCACAATCCCTGCCAGAAAAGCACATCAAATGCAGGGGCATCAGCAACTCGAAGTTTAACCTGCAACCTGTGGTGGCCCGGATGCTCTTCCCTCTGTCTGCTGCCATGGCTTGATCATTTTGCCCATGGTTTCCTCTGCTTGTCCCTTCCTGCTGGGAAGCAGGAGCCTCTCCTTTCCCCTCACCCTTCCATATCCATGCCCTGCTCTGTCCCCTCTTGCCCCAAGCTGCATTTCTCTGTTGCTTGCTTGTGGAAGTGGAGCAGTTGGAAGGGAGACTGGTCCATCTGTTTCTGCCTCCCTTGTGCTGGCTGCCAGCAGCTGAGCCAGCTCCTCTGTAACCAGAAGCGGTGCCAGTCCCTTGGTGGCAGGGTCAGCTCCGGAGTTGGTCAACGGCCAGGAAAGAGCAAAGCAGTCGGTGCCAGCAAGGTCGCTGCCTTCCTCTGGGTTGGGCATCACCATTCCTCCAGGAACCTCATCTCCTTGGCAGACAAGTGGAAGTGCAAACCATCCCCTTTTGGTCGTGTAATTTGTTTGTTACTGTTTTCCAAGTATTCCTCTGCAGAAGCAACGGTCCCTTCTCCCTTTGTGAAGCTGGGAGGGTGGTGTAGGGCCGGGGCTGCTGCACTGATGCCAGGCCCAGGTCGGTGCCCTCTCTTACACGCAGCACGAGGTTTGGGTGAATAAAGATTCCTGTCTCCCCAGAACTTTGCAACATGCAGAGAAAGGGAAAAAATAAAAACCCTGTCCCGATAACATCTGTGCCATTGTGTTCTCCAGGACTCTCATTCGTTCATACATTGAATCCTTTCCACACCTGTTTCCTATCAGGCGTGCACTGGAAAACAGGAGGTTGACACTTCTTTTCCATTAAAGTCTTTGTGCTCAGTGGAACAGAAATGGCGAGTGGGAAGCCAGTAATTCTCCTATCATTGGAATGACTTGTTGGTTTGTGACCAGAGCAAGAGGTGAACAGTTCTTGGGCTTTCTCTACACTTAGGTAGCTGCAGTCTCAACATAGATGGTTTGGGGCAGGGGGTGAACAGTGACTCACTTTGTACAGTATACTTGCACTGCGGGCTTGTGTTGCTGTGGCTGTCCCTCTGTCAGCAAAACCCCCAATGTGCTGATCCCTAAGCGTTACATTATCCTTGCCCTTTCCTTCCACTTGTCTGCGGCTGCCACTCATTGCTGACAGCAGCGTGATCACTCGCCTGTTGTGACTTGCAGAGCTCCCTGCTGCCTTGTCACTGAACGAGCACAGGTCTGTGACCCGGTGACATGGAACAAGAGGGACTGTATCCCCTTACTGAGCCGTTGCATTATCCACAGTCTGATCTAGCAAGGTGAGAAGAACACACGACGCGCATGTAAGTGATGCTTGCTTTCTTGCTGGGATAGGTACCTGCTCCTCAGCCGGTGCAGGGTTCTCTTTGCTGTACCACAGTTGCTTCTCTTCCCCGCTTTGCTTGCTGTTGATGGCTTTGCTGCTGCAGCCTCTCAAAGTGTACTGGAAGAGAAGCAAATACAAAGGTTTAAGTTAAGAACAAACCCACTTCAGAGCAGTGGCAAGAAGCATGAGTAATCCTGGGAACATGCTGCTGCTGTTAAAGTCTCCCTAGAAAAGTAGCTCTTAGGAGGGAATTGCATCTGACACTCAGCAGTGCTTCCTGAATCACTTCTAGCAATCTCGCAGTCTGTCTTCATCGGCAGCTCTTTATTTTCTGCCCACTCAGCCCTTCTCAGTGCTATGGAGACGGCCACAAGGATGATCTTGGGGACTCCAGAGAGAGGAAGGGAAGGTGATAAGACCCAGCATGTGTGGTTGCTGCTAATCCCCTGGCTGTTATCTCCATTATGTATGGAGAATGCAGTGCTGTGTAACTTGGCTGCCGAGTGAAACCCCATCGGCAAAGCGTGTTGGTCAGATCCCATCGGGCTTTTGCTTGGAGTGAGGCACAGGCAACGCTTAGGAGGAGCGGTGAGAAATGCCAGCCCGGATCTGCGTTCTGTTGTGACCGGCTCTTTGTGGGCGCAGAGTGTCTTTACCTGAAATGAAGACTGTCCCAGGGCATTTCTCTCACTTGGTACCCTTGTGCACAGCTCAGCTGCATGATGTCTTCCTGGTGAGCTAGGGTGGGAAGCTGAGCAGCAGGGCTGCTGGGGGCTCCCAGCCAGGGCAGGGGTGGAGGCAGGCTTAGTGGGGAGGGGGAATCGGTAGGGTCTGTGGGAGCTGGGAAAAGTCCTGTGCATCTTTGGGGCTTCGCACTTCAGGCCTGCCTGGTCTGCCCTGCTAATCTCTAGTGATACTGCATTGCCTCAGATGCTCGGTGTGGGTCGGCTCAAAAGTTTTTGTGCAAGTAAGATGCTGCTGCTTCGCAGACAGTTGACCTGATGCACAGCACCCTACACAGGAAGTTAACATCATACAATAATTGTTGCCTTTGTAAAGTGTGTTTTTTGATTAACCGGTAGCAAAAAGTGACTGCTAGGAGATCCTTCCCTTGGGAGATGTGTTTCTAGTGTGGTCTGTCAGGGATCTGCCCTTGGACCACTGCCGCTTTGTCCTTATCAGTGATCTGTAAGACCATTATGAAATTGCTGCTGGCAAAACTCTGTAGAAGGCACGAACTGGGGGAGCGGCTAGTAAGGATGGGGACAGCCCCACCTGCATCCTCTGGTAAGGTGAGCTCCTTTGAACAGGCCTTAATGACCTTGCCTGAGGCTGCACACACCTGGGAACAGAGTGGAGGCTGCAGCTTGGGATGGGGCGCTGTGGTCGAGTGCTGTACGGTGAAAAGGCAAGGTTTTTGGCTAGATGTGATATCTCCTGTTAAACCAGCTGATGAGTTGGAAAAAAGTTCTTGGTGAGCTTTTGGGCGCAGTCACCCTTGGTCAGGCATAGGGAGTCTCTGTACGGTGAAAAGGACTCGGCAGGTAACTGAATGTGAGCTCCTGGTGCCATGTGGTAGGTAGGATGGGTGAACGCAATGCTGGAGCAAAATGTCAGTCTGGCCTGTGTCGGCATTCATGGGGGAATAGTTCATGGTGTTTTAAAGCTGTTGAGAGCTAAACTACTGTAGAAATGACGGGCTTGTGTCCTGCAGGCTACCTCTGCCTGTGTGCGCTGGGTTTCTATTGGCAGACAAGGTTCCTTGGGTGAATTTGATATCTTTTATTAGACCAACCCAAATGGTTGGAGAATAGTTATTGAGCAAGCTTTCGGGTTCAAAAACCCTTCGTCAGGCTAAGGAAGCTGCAACGGTTGGTGTGTGCTCTTCCTGGATGGAATGAAATGGGTTTCTATTATATCTTCTCTTGCAGGCTGCTTGGTTTCTTCAATGTGAGACTCATCACTGTCTTGTCCCACACATCCTTTGATAGATGCACATGCGTATGTGGGATGTGGTCGGGGAGAGATCAGACGGGGAGCTGTTTGTCAGTGTAATCATTGCCTGTATTTTCTTATTCTCATGTGGGAATATTGTGTGTAAAAGGACAGCTGTTAACTAGGAGTCCCTGCGGGCAGGAGAAAGACGGAGCCCACGGCTTTTCTCTCTTTCTGGCAAGTCGGTTCGCGCAGCTGAAGTCTCCGAGGGTCGGGTACTCCGGGGTGTGGGACAGTTCCTGACGTGCCAACAGGCCCCAAGTCTTTTGCCTGCCAAACACATGGTCCTGCGTTACTCAGGTGAAACTGCTGTGGGCACTGGGATGACGGCGTGGTCTTCCTTCGTCCTTGGTGGCTCTGTGGACTTCCAGCAAGCAGGGCAGTGGCATTTCTGCTCTGCGGTTTCCTCCTTTCCACCCCAGCCCGCATCAGCCAGCCAAGATGCCTGATACGCGGGACACCATCACTGGCCCAGAGACTGACCTCCCCGTCTCTGTTTGTGGGCTCTCCCCAGAACTCTTTTAGTTCAGATACACCCTGGAGGTGGCTGTCCCCGTTCTCTTCAACTCTCCTTTCCACAGCAAAGGAGCAGCGATGTGCACCCATCGAGGTGCAGGGGAAATTTGGTCCCGAAGAGCCGAGTGGCCATTCCCAGAAGCTGCGGCCTGCAGACTGACCACAGCAGAAGCTGCCCCACGGTAAGAGGCTCCCGGAAGAGGGGAGCACTGTTGTAGGAATCGCAGGTGAAACAGGGCTGTTTGCTGTGGATTAGTTTCCGCTTGTTTCCTGGTGTTGCTGTTCTTGGCTGGAAGCAAGAGAGCTGGCTGTTAATGCGGGCTGCTAGCCAAGGCCTGCCCACCAATGCCACGTTGCAAGGATTTGGTCCTTTAAAGGTAGCCGAGAGCTAGGACTTCTTGCAGTGCAGTGCAGCGTCGGGGCCGGTCCTGCTGCCAGCGAGCCTGTCCCTGCAGGAGCTGGGAGGGCGAGCGCTAGCGCGTCCCTGAAGCTGCTGCTGAGCTGGGCACGTTGCAGGTGCTGACGGTCTGCCAGGAGGTGCGGCGTCTTCCCCTGGGAGTGCCGCGAAGGGCACAGGTTCCCACGCCCCACAGCAGCGTGCTCTGCTACGTCTGACGCAGACAATCCCACTGTCTGCCATGCGTTGTTTGCCTGCGAGAACAGCTGCGTGTGGGCGCGTGCACCTCTTTCCATCCCCGGTGTAGCATCCTAGGGGTAGGAGTACTTTGTGGGATCTTCCAGTTCAAGCCTGTTTTGTTTTTCCTAATTCCCCTCCCCCTCCAAGAAACCAGCAACTGAAGGGAACCAATAGGTATTTGCCGCCCCACTGTCGCTTCTCGGTGCTGTTTCGCCCAACAGGGAGCCAAAGGGGAATCGTAAAACCAGAAGAATGTGAATGTCTTGCTTGTGTGCACTGACAACCTTCAGTGCGCGGAGCTGGACAAGAAAAGCCAGTATGGTTGCTTCAATGTGTGTTGTTCCCTGTCAAGCATGGTCCGTGCGTGTTGGCTTGCGGACCCTTCCTGCTGTCCTTGAAGTGTCCTGCTTGATTTGGGGAGTGGAAGAGAAGTGATGTCTTTGAGGCTTTTTGGACAACAAAGTACCTTTTCAAGCCTGGAAACTAGCCCTGGGTGACACACGGCTTGTGTGGAGGGAAACCGGGGTGCTGGGAAAAGAGCTTGCAAGCTCCTGCTTTGGCTTAGTCCAGGACTGCTTTGCTCTTGGCAGAGCCCGGCATGTCCTCTCATGGGAGGCAGCCCGCCACTGTGGTGTGCCCGGCTTTCCTCGACTGAAGAGCTCTGCAATGCATTTGGACGTGCCGTAGAGGCCTCGCCACCTGCTGCAGGAGCTTTCTCCTGCCCTGGGAGGGAGTCGAGAGGTGGCCACCAGCCCACTTCAAAAGTACAGAAGACGGATGTAGGCAGGGGAGCGAGTCCTTCACTGCCCTGGAGCTCTTGCTCAGAGCCCAAATGCTGCTTTTAGGTTGCTTCTCAATGATGTTGCTGAGCCAGAGCCGCCACCTTGCCAGAAGCTGGGCAAAGCGGTTTAAACTTGCAGCATTTGCTGCAAATACCTAACGCCTAAGGCTACATTGCCCGCTCACAAGTGTTTTTGCATGGCCTCTTCTTGCGTGGTGATGCCCTTGTTTGCTGATGACTTACCTCTAAGTCCTGGGAGGTTCTGTCAACCCCACAGGCCTCCAACCTTTCCTGGCCATGGAGCCCTGCCCTTTTGGGGTACAGGTGCTCTTTGTGCTGTTTCTTTGGTGTGTGCGAGACTGCTGATGGGAGGAGAGATGCCTGTGCAGATGCGGAGGTTTAAGGCTGTTGCAGACGGACAAACCCCATGGGACAGTATCGGGAGTGGATCGCTCCCTTAGCCTGGCCTGCTGTCTTGGGGCATCGGGCATAACGTTAACAGCCCTTTCCCCACCCCCTCCTCTCTGGCTTCATTTCCCAAAGGGATGAAACAAGAAGCCCAATTTCCTTTTCTCAAACCTGGTTTAGCAGCTGCTTAGCAAAGAGGGGAAGTGTGGGTCGTAGGAGCATGTGTGGAGTGCCCGGCCCTCCGTGCCAGTCCCGCATCGCGCTGCCCAGCCAGCTCTGTTGCCCTGGGCCTGCAGGGATAGCCTGCCCTGGGCCAGGGGACTTGAGGCAGATGCTTTGGAGCTCCTTGCGCTGTCATGTCTGGTATGAAAAAGAACTGCTTCGTCACGACTATTTGTCTTGTTACCTGGCAGCTGATAAGAGGTCACCATCTCCAGTGGGTCTGGCTCGTGGCACGGAGTGTGGTCTGAATGTGCATAATAACACTGGCCAAAGAGCTGCCTATTAATAGCACTGCAAGGCACTGGTTGTAGATCTTGGGGTGATGACATGGAGGCGAGCTCTCCAGGCAGGGACCATCTGCTTCCAGACGCAGCAGGGTGCAGTGGAGCCTTGTCTTGGCTGGGCCCCCAGGTGCTCCGACAGTGTGGACAGTAACGGGAGGGTTGGGCACTGGGAGCCAGAGCAAACGGAGGATCTGCTGCTGTGAAGGGGATACGCTGGCTGGATGCAGATAGCGAACAATGTGCTTGGCGTGACTCCGTGGCCAAGCTGAGCTCAGTGAAGGTTTCTCAGGGGTGCATGTTGTGTGGCCAGAGGGCTAAGCAGCCTACGGCCTCGTGAACAGCAGCCTGGGCTACTGGTCCCTGACACTGGAGGGCGGAGGTAAAGCTGACAAATTGCAGATTTTATTGCTCATAAACTCCATCCGGCAGCTCCTGATTGTTTTTTCTCCGGAAACAAGCCTGAGCCTTTACCTGGGCGTGTGCGCGGACTTCTGAGAAGAGAAGCTTCTTGGAAGTCAGAGCAACGTGGGTGCATTGCTTCAGTTCCTGGCCTGCGGCTGTCTGGGTGCGCACGTGTTTCTGTGGAGCCCTCGCCCAGCGTGCAGGATTCGTGCTGGCCATGTTTGTCGCTGGCATGCTCTTCACTCTGTTGCACTTGCCCCCGCTCTGCCCGTCTTGCCTGCGTGTGTGGGGTTTGTCTGCTGCTCTGTGCCTGTAGTGCCCAGCAAAGCAGGTCCCTTCCTGTTGGCTCCTTAGGTGCTACTGTAATACACGTGGCATGCAGTGAGCGTGCCTGTCAGCACGTCCTAGGGCAGGGTAGAATAACGTGAATATACTGGGAATAGGAAAATGGAGTCCAGGCTAGCTGGCATGTGCCCGTAGGGCTGTATGCTATGTTGCTGGGGAGAGCAAGTTTGGTGGGGGAGGTAGTGCCTGTAAGATCAGGACTCTCCTCAGATTGTGAAGCTTCAAGCAGGGAGTAAAAAGGATCCAAAAGCCATGATTCTGCTCCGTGTGCATAGCCGTGAAAGAGAGGATATTTCCTACACGCTTGGCTTTGAGCAGCATCGAATGCCCAGCATGTGACACGTGCTCTACTTTACAAAGGCAATGGAAGGGCCAATTCAGGCAACACCATCTAGCGTGGGTTGGAGCAGCTGATACTGTTCCTTTGGGAAACGCAGTTTTGATGGCATCCACCCAGGACAATTGTATCCTCAATAGCAATGCTTCCAATCGAGAAAATAAGCATGTGGTTCTGTGGCAAACTCCCTGGTCCCTTGGCTCAGGAGTCTGCTGTGTCAAGACTGGCTGCTGTGGGGGTGGCGAAGGCTGCATCTGATGCTAGAGCAACACCCCCCAGTTCTGCACGCTGGGTCCTTGAGGAGCGTGTTTAGCAAAGGAAAGTGATATCCTCTGATGAAACACTTGGTAAGGCCTGACTGATCCTAGGTCATGTGTTCGGTGCATGTGGCCCCTTGGGGGAGAGGGTAGTCGTACCTGGAGTTTATTTACTAATCCAGATTTGCATGGGGATTTGTGTAGTGATCTTCAAGGATTGGGTATTCTAGATGGAGGATTATGTGTCTCTGCTCACTCCTGGCTATGTGACATAGAAACTTGAGCTCCTTGACAGCAAATGCGGGAAGCTACAGATTTCCTACTTTGAGTATAAAATTTATACAGTTTTATAGTGACCTTTATCCAAAAAGATTCAAAACGCATTATAAACTGATTTATACCAGCCTCCCTACATACAACTTCACCTACCTCTGCAGTGCAGTCACCACTAGGTTAATCACGTCTGTTGGTTAAGTCAACGGCAGCCTGGAAGAGGTTTTGACACAGTGGAGTCGTGGTATCCTTTGGGAATGCAGGGCCCAGCTGTCCAGTGAATCTACCTGCACATCTGTACCGGATCAGAGGCTTGATTCCCGGAGACAGGTGAAATGGTGGTAGGCTGCAAGATGATTTCCCAGCTGGGCTCTGTGACTGCCAGTGCTACAAGCCAGGCACTGTGCTGGAGAGCAGGTGCCCTGCGCTGTGCCAGCTGAACTTTCTGGCCTGGCTACCCTGGAAGTGCAGGTGGTTCCCAGAGACAGAACATTCATGTTGTAGGGCAGGGTTTGCTACTCTGACAGAAATGCCAGGGCATCTTTTTAAGAGTCGTTCCTGGTCAGGACCCATCTGAATGGTCTCTGTGCCGTTTCCCTCGCTGATCTAAGGTGCATCTGCCTGATTTCTGGCTCATGCCAGCGTTTACACATTGATCTTTTCTGGAATCATCTTGGGTTGTCTTATAATTTTATAGTTTCATAGCAGTTAGGGGTCAGAAGGGACCTAAAAAGATCATCTAGTCTGACCCCCTGCCACTGGCCGGAGCACACGCTGGGATCACATGACCCCAGACAGGTGTTCATCCAACTTCTTTTTGAATTTACCCAAGGTAGGAGCGAGGACCACTTCCCTAGGAAGTTGGTTCCAGATCCTAGCCAACCTGACAGTGAAATGGTGCCTCCTAATCTCTAATCTGAACCTACTCTCCAGCAGCTTCTGGCCGTTGTTCCTCGTCACCCCAGGTGCTGCCGGGGGGAATAGGGCCCTTCCTATTGGCTGCTGATCTCCCCTAACGAGTTTGCAGGCAGCCACCAAATCCCCCCTCAGCCTCCGTTTGCTGAGGCTGAACAGGTTCAGGTCCCTCAGCCTCTCCTCGTAGGGGCTGCCCTGTTGCCCTCCAACCAAGCGGGTGGCCTCCTCTGGACCCTTTCAAGGCAGACCACATCCTTCTTGGAGTGAGGTGCCCAGAACTGGACGCAGTACTCCAATTGAGGCCGGACCAATGTCGTGTAGAGGGGGAGGATCACCTCTCTGGACCGGCTTGAGATGCACCTTTGGATGCACGACAAGGTGCGGTTGGCTTTGCTGGCTGCGGTCTGGCATTGGCGGCTCATGTTCATCTTGGAGTCAATAATGACTCCAAGATCCCTTTCCGCCTCTGTGCTCACAAGCGGGGAGCTCCCCAGCTTGTATGTATGCTGTGGATTCCTTCTCCCCAGGTGCAGCACCCTGCACTTATCCACATTGAAGCCCATCTTATTACCATCTGCCCACCTCTGTAGTCTGTCTAAATCTAATTGCAGCCTCTCTCTCCCTTCGAGCATGCCTACCTCTCCCCACATCTTGGTGTCATCAGCAAACCTGAACACACCCCCTCGTCCAAGTCGCTGATGAAGATGTTGAACAGAGTGGGCCCAAGGAGCGAGCCCTGGGGGACCCCACTATTCGCATCCCGCCAGGTCGAGTGCTACCTGTCCACCACCACTCTCTGGGTGCGGCCCTCCAGCCAATTTCTGACCCATCCAACTGTGCAGGCATCAATGCCACAGTCACTCAATTTATAAATGAGAATGGGGTGAGACACAGTGTCAAAGGCCTTCTTAAAGTCCAGAAAGACTACATCCACAGTGACCCCATCATCCAGGGATTTAGTTACTTGGTCATAAAAGGCAATCAGGTTGGTCTGACAGGACCTGCCCTTAATGAACCCATGTTGATTGCCCCTGAGCATGATCTCCCCCGCTGGCCTCTCACAGATGTGATTCTTGATGATTATTTCAAGGATTTTCCCCAAGACCAACATGAGGCTTATGGGCCTATAGTTTCCTGGGTCCTCCTTTCTCCCTTTCTTATAAACGGGGACCACATTAGCTAGTTTCCAATCTCTGGGCACCTGGCCTGTGGACCACGATTGCTTGTATAGCCAATCATCCGGGCCATTCGGTCAGTGCATCACTCATGCTGGGGTTACAGTAGTTACCCAGCTTCAGCCTCCCTGGTCAGCTTTCAGAGAAGGGAGCAGTGTTTTCCCCACTAATACTTTCCACTCCCTTGTAGCTTGTCCTCAAGAACCCCAAGAACACGTCATTCCTCTTCCTGGCGCACACACTTCCATTAGAAGAGAAGAGCTGTGGGCTTCTGGACGATGAAGTCTGCTTTTGAATGCTGCTCTCAGCCAAGCCTGTTCTCGGCCTAGAGGTTCAGTGGCTGGGGGCTCTGCAGTGGGGTTCAGGGGGTTTTGCTGTGTTCTGAGACTCTCTGCTTTTCCGCCGCAGAACATTGTGTCAAAGAATGCTATGCAGTACCGTGGGAGCTCGCAGCACGATGCCCAGGAGTTCCTGCTTTGGCTCCTAGACAGAGTTCATGAAGATCTGAACAATGTAGTGAAGTGCAGCGACAGACCTATACTGAAGGTAAGGAGTTCTACTGCAAGGTGGTGGGGGAAGTGAAGCCATGCTCTTCCATGGACCTTGTCTCCTTGGCCTTCCAGGCTGCTTGGTCCCACCTGACTGCAAAGAGCTGTCCCAGCCTGTGCAAGGTGGCTCTGCTCCAGTCGCCATACAGGGCTGATATGAGACTCCTTGTGTACCCAGTGTGCCTTCTCCTGGACTTGCTTTTCCTTTTCAGCCACCCCTGGAAGACGATGTGCTGCTCGAGGGACCGGCCTTTCCCGTCAGTAGTACTTTTGTGCAGGAGCTCTTTCAGGCACAGTACAGGTATGGTGGACGCTGCCTTGCGGGGGCCTCCTTGCATAGCTGTGTATGCTCAGAGGTTCTTTGATCCCTGGGGAGAAGGGAGGGCGTGTTGGTGGGGCTCAGTGCTGCAGGGTGAAGGGTAAGGGGGGCAGTGTGCAACCTCTGCAGTTCTCCAGCTTGTTTACAAGGTTGGGGGATCCTTCCTCCACCAGCCAGGCTCTGAATCTCCCCTGGGAAATCTCAGCCAAGTTCTTGCACCATCGTTAAGCTTAGTTACTCAGAGAAATGGTCCTACTCCCACCTGACCCTTGGGTCACCTGCTCAGTGTGGCAGAGGTGAAGACAGTCCAGCATCCCGGCGGTGTTGGGGCGGGGGGGCAGGTTTGACCTCCCTGAGGTTTACCTGGGCTGTGTAGAGTCAGGAACTCTCAGTTCCTTGGAATTGGCTTTCTCCTTGACTGGTGGAGATTCAGGCACATGCAGCACTTCGTGTAACAGTTGGGGTAGCGCAGAGACCCTCTGTGTCCTTTGTATTAGAGTCAAGCAGCGCCAAATTATTAATTTCACAGCGACTTCTACTGGAGTGAAGCCTGTTTTCCTGGTATGCCCTGCAACGAGTCCTGAGACTAATTGCTTGGTGAAGATCTGGGAATTAGTGGCCTTTCACTTTCAGCAACCGTCTGCCTGCATAGACTCTGGGCTAAATCCAGCTGCTGTCTGTGGGGGAAGGGGTCTGCTTGGCAGAGCAGCTTTGTGGCCACATGAGGGCTCTTCCTTGTTTGTGTGTATCATCGTTGGCCTGTCCCTGCTGTTGGAGATGCGACTTTACCCTGTTAATATTTCTGATAGGTCCTCCCTGACGTGCCCTCATTGCCAGAAGCAGAGTAACACCTTTGACCCTTTTCTCTGCATCTCTCTGCCGATTCCCCTGCCTCATACACGGTACGTGCCTATATGCACCATCAAGTTAAATTCTCTTCCCCAACCAGTGGTTGCGTCAAATCTTAATGCAGAAGAGAGAGATGCCAGTGGCGCTGGTAGCAGTACGGAAGGGACCCCTCCCCTTCCCAAACAGCAAAGAGGAGTGCTGGGTGGGACTGATTTGCATGTGTGGATGCACGTGTGCAGGTTGCAGGAGATATTGAAATTTGTCATTTTTTCCTATTTTAAAATGCAGTGAAAACCGGAAATGGGACATTTTCTAGGGAAAGGACCCTCTGTTAAATGCCAGTGGAGACATTGGTTCTTTAGAGTCCTTAAATTTTATATTCTAAAAGAAAATGAAAAAATTAAAATGTCTTATTCCCAAAGGTTACACCACACCTTTCCAACTTATTGATGCTTTTTATAACTTCCTTCTGATGCTAACTTGTTGAAATGCTGTTTCTGCAAAATGTTTTGGGTTCAGCAAATTGTCCCTTCCCAGCAAAAGAAACTTTTGTTGGAAGATTTTGCTCAGCTCTGGAAAAGATGCTGCTCCTCCCACTCTCCCCAGGAATTTTTGCCATTGGCAGCCCTCTGAGAGCAGCTGTAGGCCATGCTACAAAGATCAGTGTCCTAACGCTAGGACTGCCTTTTATAGAGGCAACTGAATTTTGTATGTCCCCGCTGTAGGTAAGAACGCCCATTTGGCATGCACAGGAGAGGCAGACACCCCAGAGGAGCAAGAGATGCATCTACCCCTTCCATTATCATACACATCTGGGGTGGAGAACAGATGTGGGGTTTATCCCAAGTCCAGTTGTCCCAGGCTTTGACTCGCAGCAATACAGGCATGCGACAGTTATTTACACGTGCAGCTTGAATAGCAGTTAACTCTTAGCACCAGTTGTCCCATGAAAAAAGTGTTATCTCAGCACTTAACATGGGACGATGAGGTTTATGCCTGTAGGATCCCAGAATAAAAGGCTTTGTTCTGGGAGAAATCTGACAGTTGTTTTTAGACATTTGGGACTTGGGGAGATGGGTTAATTCTGGTGTTCAGTGCCCACAGTCACTCCCTTACTTGACCCCATGGACGTGGTGAGAGAGTCTTGACCATTCTAGTCACGGGCTTCTCACTATGGGAGCAGCTTTGGAGAACTGGAGCTGTGGTCACAGGAGCCAGTTCCTTATACCTTTTATCCATCGCTAAGTGTGCGAGAGAACAGAAGGCACAGCCACCAAGTCATGAACACCTGGGTAACGTGTAAAGTGTAAATCTCCTTCTGTGGCTCCTGCAGCCCATCAGCACCAAGCTTTGCTGGGGCAGACCTGGGTTGTCTGCAGCCCAGCCTGAACCAGTGCCCCCTGTGCTCCCTGCAGGCCTCTGTACGTCACCGTGGTGTATCGAGGGAAGTGCTCTCACTGCATGCGGATCGGGGTAGCAGTACCTCTGTCGGGAACAGTGGCCAGGCTGCGTGAAGCAGTATCCATGGAAACCAAGATCCCCACTGAGCAGGTAATGAAGGCTGGGCTCGGGTCCTGCAGGAGTCTTGAACCATTTTTCTATGTAAAGGCAGGGTAACACCAAGCGTGCAGGGATCGGACCAGTGCACCTGGAAACGTGGGGAAATTAGCTGGCTGCAGCAACAGGAATGCTTCATGTTGGCCAGTGGGCTGCCTTTTACACGCAGCCCGGGCAGGGAATGATACTGGCTGACTGTACGAGCTCCACGAGGTATCAGCAGGCTGAGCTGCTTCTGATGCTCCTTTCTGAGTGAGGAAGGGAGGGTATGGTGCTTTTGCCCAGTAGCACTGCTGACTGTGGAGAGAAACCAGCAGGGGCCCATGGGAAATGACCCGGAGTTTTGAGTCTCTTGCGGGAGAACTATTAAGATGCCTTTGTATCTGTGGGATCCCCTAAACACTAGCCTTCATGTACGTTTTACCCTACCTGTTCCTTCATAGGCAGACCATTCCCCCACTTCTTACCAGCCAGCATTGGAAGGCTGAATTCCCATCCTGTGTCAGCGCATGCTTTGCTGAAGGTCTCCCAGCTTCCCTTTCTCAGAGGCTGAGCAGCTCAGCTGGGGGGTGTGGGAGGTCTGACAGGTGCTGTTCCATTTCTGCTTCCTCCAGATCGTGCTGACGGAGATGTACTACGATGGGTTCCACCGTTCCTTCTGCGACACCGATGACCTGGACACAATTCATGAAAGCGACTGCATCTTTGCCTTCGAGACACCGGAGATATTTAGACCCGAGGGGATCCTTAGTCAGAGAGGTGAGTGGGTAACCCTGCTTTATGCCCACATTGGAGTATTTTGAGGTAAGGAGGCTTGATGACACATGTCCAAGACTTGGAGAGGAGTATGGAGATGGTTCTGATCTACAGACCCTGTGCTCCAACCTGGGTTGGCTGCTGTTTCCAGCAGACCTTGTGACTCTTCAGCTGACAGTGACACTGGGAGTGACACAACATGCTTTCTTCCCCTCTCCTGAGCTGGGACTTAGCTTGGAGCTTGGCTGTGCCAGACCCTTGGGGTCAGACCTGGAGGCTAACACTTGCCTATAATAGTTGGATAGTTAGTGATATCTTTTTGGGGGCAGGGGAGAGGGGCACAAAATGCTGCCCATCCTTTCTGATGACCTTGGGGCCTCAGATCCTGGCACTGAACTCTGCACTGCTGGGACACAGCCAGAGAAGGAAACTGAGGGAGTCAGCCAGGTTTTCTGGAGCTCTGTTAGTAGCTCAGCTCTCACCAACCAGAGGATGTACATTTGAAACAATGAGCAAGGGGCTCTTCATTTAGACTTCAGACTGTTCTCCTGCATACAAACAGCATGCCAGCCCTCTGCAAAGCTCTGATGTAAACCACTTAGCTGGGTGTTCAGTGTGAGGTACTAACTTTGTGGGGGTCCTATAACTACTTTGTGTTGTGCTGTATAGAAGTAATTGCATGTAAAATTAACTTTTATGTAAGTCAAGTGCTTTCTGGGAATATGATTAAAACAAACCCAGTCTGGCTTCCTAATTTCACACTGATCCTCTGCTCTGAAGTGGAAGTCAGGCTCCTTGAGGACACATGGCAGCTGAAGTAATGGAGAAAGCCTTCTTTTCCCTCTTGTTTCAGGAATTCACATGAACAATAACCTGAATAACTTGAAATACGCCACTGACCACTCCAGAATGACCTCTTATACCCAAGGGGCGGTGAAGTCAGGGAAACTGGAAATCTCCTCCAGCAGGCCAGCAGCCAGTGACAAGATTGTACTGCTGGTTTGTAACAGAGCATGTACAGGACAGCAGAGCAAAAGGTAATTGTAAAGTTGGAGGGGTGGGGGGGGGAATTGGGCAAGCTAATAGTCCCTCCTGGATCTGTCTGACCATCCCATTCAGGGTGTTGTCCCCGACTCTGAGCTTTGAGGCTCCAGCAGGGTTAACACTCTTCAACATCACACTGTAGATGTGGCATGAGGAGAGAATGACAGTAGCTGATTTGGGGAAGTGTCCCCCCAGAACCTCTCGTCTTCTAATCCCTTTTTAAAATGTGGCTCCCTCTGGCAGGTTTGGCCTGCCCTTTGTGTTGCACCTGGAGAAGACCATTGCTTGGGACCTGCTGCAGAAAGAGATCCTGGAGAAGATGCAGTACTTTCTGCGGCCCTCGGCTTGCATTCAGGTGAGGCGGACCCCTCTGCTCCCTTCCCAGACCTGGACCTTGGTTTCGGGTTGTCAAGCATGTCTTCTTTTTTTGTCCCTGCCCAAGGAACCCTGACTGTTCACAGCTCAGACAGCAGGCTTGAGCCTGGGAACATACAGGAACTTTCAAGTAAATTGGGCTGTTTTATTCAGCAAGTTAACTTTTGTTTCTGTCACACCTAGGTTTGTCCATTCAGCTTGCGGGTGGTCAGTGTTGTGGGCATCACGTACCTGTTACCTCAGGAGGAGCGACCTCTGTGCTACCCCACGGTAGAACGGTAAGCACAGCCCTCTTCCCCGGCGGGGCAAGGATATTTCCCAGCTTGTGACTGACTGGTTCTCCGCGGTGCAGTTGAGCGTTTGCAGCTTAGACTGCTGCGTTGTGTAGGAGGGTGGCATAGACCCAAGCAGCAGGGGACTTGCTTTTTTCTTATGATAATATTCTATTGGAATTGCACCTGATGAAGTCCTCCTTGGTGCCACTGGCAGCCCAGCGTGGAAGGGGACAGAAAGCAGAAGTGCTTGGGGAGGAGAGATGGGAGCAGGAATCTGACATGTAGGCATGGGCACAAGACCAGAGCAGCAAAGTGGTCGTAAGCCACCCGGAACCTGAGTGCAGCTCCCAGGTCTTGGAAGTGGCTGCGTTGGTGTCTGGAACAGGAAGGGACATGCACTTCCAAAGGTCCCCTCAGTACTGGTGTGTCCCCTTAATGGGACTGGGGATATCCTGTCATTCTCCTCTGGCCTGTTTCCATCACCTCTCGTCCCACAGCATCTTGGGACCCTTGCCTGGGAGTTGCTTGGGGAGATGCGTGCAGCTGTAGGAGTTTGCAGGGTGGTGGCCAAGGCTGTCTGACAGGGAGCTGAGGGGTGGGATGTCTTGCGCTGCTCAAGCAGTACGCTGCCAGTAGGGCAGGGGCTGAAGTTTAAGCTGCACTTAAGGGATTTTGTGGCGGCTCTTGAACACTGCGGTGTTGGACGTTATGGAAATGCAGATCCCAGGCTAGGATGTCTGTGGGGCCCTAGGCAGTTTGCTGGGGACTGTCCTGGAATTGTCCTGTACACTGAGTGGATGGGGATTCCAGTTTTGCAGGCAAGATAAAATTATCTGAATTCTCCCAGGTCTTGCTCACTGGACAGCCCTTGTAATGGGTAGAATTAGCCTCCATCCAGTGGAGAAAATACCACAATGCAATGGGTTCACTGCCTTTGCATTCAGGCAGTGTTTATGAGGTTGTGTGTATGTTGCTCTCTCCCAGAACTCCTTATTCACTTTACTCCATGTTGCACTGTGAAGCCTCTGTCCAGCACAGGACTTGATAAACATTTTTTCTGGTGCAGCCTCTAGTCGCTGCTGAGGACAAAGGAAAACTGTGGCGTATTGGCTGCACTTGCTGGACTATGTTAGTGGCCTAACCGGGTGGTGGCAGCAGGAGCGAGGCTAAAAAGATTCAGTTCTCTGGCCTAGCTGAGCTTTGCTGTATGAGGTGTTACTCAGCTTGCCGTGGGGTAGCTGGAGGCTGCGCGTACAGAAAAGGGCAGCTCGGGCTTGGGAATAGGGACTCTAACTACAACATCTGCTTCTCCCTCCAGGGCACTGAAGTCTTGTGGTCAGGGTGGAACTGCTCATGTGAAGTTAGTGGTAGAATGGGACAAAGAGACTAAAGACTAGTAAGTATGATGCCAGAGAGCCCTGCGCAGTTAGCTGCAGAGGAATGTTTGCAAACAGCCTGGCAAAATAGGAGTCTGTTGCAAAACCTCAAATCATTTCCTGCTCCGGCTGTATTCGGGTCTAGACTGTACTAAACCACGTGGCTGCATGAACCTCAGGAGTGGAATCTTTGCCTCCATCTGGCCTGGCCTCTGCCAGATTGGAGGTGGTTGTTTCTATTGTAAATCCCCAGCTCCTGGCCCCTGACTCTCATTCATGTCAAGGAACTTTAGACTGCGTAGGTGTCAGCTGTCTGATCCACCCCAGAAAGTAGGGTCGGTGCCCACTACACACTGCTTCTTTCCTACCTTTTTTTAGCCGTGCTGTTCGGGGTGACCTCTTACTGAGCCACCTCTGGCTGCATGGTGGGGGAGGGATAGATCAAGGTAGCAGCTGGGAGTGCTTCCTTCCCCCTGAGATGTAGTGTTGATGGGACGGACAGTAAGCGCCTTGTCTCCCTGCTGCAGTCTGTTCATGAATACAGAGGAGGAGTACGTCCCGGACTCTGAGAGTGTCCGTCAGCAGAGGGAGCTTCACCACCAACCTCAGACCTGCACTTTATCTCAGTGTTTCCAACTGTACACCAAAGAGGAACAGGTAGGAGCTCGAAAGCTTGGACTCTCCTGTGGAGGGGCATTGGACTGGAGCAGAGTGGCTAAGTTGCTGGCTTGCTGGAGCAGCTGTACCCTCCTGCCCAGTGCTGATCCAGTGGGATTGTACCCCGCGCTCGCGCTCTCTCTCTCTCTCTCACACATGCAAATCCTTCTTACCCCTGCTTTGCAGTGTCCTCCTTGTGCAGGACCCTGCTTTCTGTAAGGGTCCTTTACAGTAGACGCAGACTGCTTCTCCCTCTCCTGGGAATTGGTCGCTTTTTTGGGCTTGTGCATCTCTGCTCTCAGGCAGGCCAGGGACATTGCTCTGTCCCCTGCAGCGCAGGCTGCTGTGGGCACCCTCAACAAATGCACCTGGGGAAACGCACAGATGTGGCTGCTCAGCCTGCTGCCTCTGCTTGAAGACTTCTCCTGTGGGCTGCTTTTCTCCAGAAGAGTTGCACTTTCTGCTGCCGTTGTAGTCCTGCTTAGCAGGGAGCACTTGGCCTATGGGAGTCTCCGGGCTTCTTGTCTCACGTCTGTCTTTTGTAGAAGGCATTTGTAAATGCTTCCTAGGCAGAGGCTGCCAGTCGGGGGCCCTTGGAGGGCAGCCTCTTCCCAGCTGCTGGAGGAGGATAAAGCTGGGCCTGCAGAGGGGCACACAGCACCAGAACCCAGGCTGCAAATTGGACTGACGTTGCCCATGACACGAGAAGGGCTCTGTGTTTCTTAGCACTGTATTGTAATCCTATAACAAGTCGGGTTGTAGCCTCAAGTCTAGGGTCCAGCCATGTGGATGCAAAGCTTTTAATAAGGCTTGAGCTGCTACTGTTGGTGTTTCCAGTCAGAGCTGAGAGAACAGATGGCTTGTAGCTGGCCAGTTGTGGCCTCTGAGCCTGTTAGCCAGGGAACCAGCACTGGGATGAGGGAGGGAGGAAGAAAATTCACCCCACTCGAAGAAAACCTTTTTCTTTCCAGCCTCCTGGCCCTGTAGCACTGGTACTAGCGGGGCTGGGGAGCAGGGAGGAGGGTCCCTTGGCTAGAGGGCAGCAAAGCATTGACCTTGACAGCCCTAGCCTGCTCTGCCTTGTGCAGTAATCCAGTTCCCATCCTTGCTGCCAGAAAGTGGTGTTTTGGCTGTTGAAAAGGGTTGCCATGTCAGCCCGTCCAACCTGCCTGCGTTTGCCTTTAGCTTGTTCCGCTCTCGCTTGTGGGTGAAGAAGGGGGCATTTGCAGGTGACAGTGGCTGCTGTGCACAGTTGCACTGGCTGAGCTGTAACGGGCCATGGAAGTGTCTGCTGCATGCTGCCTGTGTTCTGGGTGCTGCTGCTCTGAAGAGCCTTGAGGTGCTGCAGCCCTCTCCCGGGAGGGTCCCCCTGCACTGTGGGGAACCATCTTTGACCGCAGTGCCAGGTGAACACTATAGGTAGATGGGGCACGAGAGCTGGCGAGTTCAGGTTTCTGGGTGTGCTTGTTGTGAGGCAGAGGTGAGCAGGCCTGCGTAGACAAGTCTGTATTCTGAGTGAGATGTTTGGCAGCTAACGGCCACTGATGCTCCTTGTTCGTAGCTTGCTCCAGACGATGCATGGCGCTGCCCCCACTGCAAGCAGCTGCAGCAGGGGAGCATTACTCTGAGCCTGTGGACTTTACCCGATGTTCTCATCATCCATTTAAAGAGGTTTAGACAGGTAAGAACCAAGTATGTGGAGTGGGGGGATGCTTTTCAAGGCAGCAGCCCTCTGAGGATGGGCAGTTGACTGGCAATTTGTCCCTCAGCTCCATTGCAATGAAACGGCTCCCTCCCATGGCCGGCTGCACTCTTTGTAAGTGCAGGATTCCCAGAGGCGGCTGTATTGGCACCCGGGGCTCACGTGCATCTCAAAACAGAAGCAAAGTGCTCTGCAGCCCAGGTGGCAAGGGGTGGCTGCTCGCTGGCCCTTGTTCACGCTGCCTTCCTGCCTGCACATTGCTTGCCTGTCTGCTGGAACAGCTCCTTAGCTGGGAGCTCTGCTCTGATGCTGCATCACTGACGATGTTTCTGGCTGAGCAACCTCTGGAGGGATGCGCTGCATCAGTTGGGCCCTCGTGGTACAGCTGTGCCTCTGTCCTGAGCGGCCACTGTAACTCGCTTCCTTTCTTCAAACAGGAAGGAGACCGAAGAATGAAACTCCAGAACATGGTCAAGTTCCCGCTGACCGGCTTGGACATGACGCCTCACGTCGTTAAACGCAGCCAGAGCAGCTGGAGCTTGCCATCCCACTGGTCGCCATGGAGACGACCCTATGGCCTTGGAAGGGATCCCGAGGACTATATTTATGACCTGTACGCCGTGTGCAATCACCACGGCACCATGCAAGGGGGGCACTACACAGGCAAGCGCTCTGCAGCTTTGCATGTGATGCGACTGGTCTTGACAACGCCAGCCTGCTCGCTCTCAGCGAGCCTGCATGGCTTTGCCCGGGACCTGCCTCCCTGAGCTCTAGGAGCCTGAGCTTGCTGCTCATGGGAATTATGGGCTGTTTGGGGAGCTTGCTTCACTCCTCTGCAAGCATGGATCCATGCACTCTGGGCACAGATTCCCTTTGCGTGTCCCAGAGTATGTCATGCCACGGGTAGGTGCAGATGAATGGCGAGATGGCTGATTGCTTGGGTGCGCTGGCAGGGAGGGCCGCAGAAGCACATAGGAGCACGTTCAATACTGCTTACCCTCCCACGGGAGTTTGCCAGAGTGCGGGTTGCTGAGTGCCGTAGACACAACCCTTCCCCTGAAGGGCAGAGTGGATCACAAACAATTCTTTTGGTCTTACTGAATTGTATCCCGTGCTCCTCCATGTCTGCTCCTCTTGAAAGGAGGTCTGGTTTCTTGCTGCTGTCTCTGGACAAATGAATCAGCTGTGCCTCTTTCCAGGCACTTTGCACTCAGTACTCAAAGCAGCAAACTTTTACTTCCAGGCCACATTCTGCCTGGGCTGGGCTCATATGTCAGCTGCATTTGCAGATCCCAGGCTCGTATAATGGTCGCTCTTACTTGCCCTTGTAGATCTCGGAGCAGCTGGAGGGAGTCAGGGAATTCCCTATCTGCGATGCCACACTTTGAGCTTGAAGCGCGCACACCCTGCTCCTCAGGTGTTTCTGTGGGCGCTGGTGCTGTCCTGTTCTGGATAGCTCAGGTGGGCGAAGATACAGGACTAGAGACCAACTCCACAAATCGCAGGCAACAGCAGGTGACCCACCCCAGAGTGAGCTCCCCCCCCTGCAGTGGCAGAGTTGGAAGCCCCAGGTGCTGGAGCGTGCAGCATATGGCACTCGGCTGTTTTCGGCAAGCTCCCTGCTGGTGTCAAGAGCGCTGCTTCCCCTCTCCAGGGTGTCGGAGCCTGTGGAAGCAGCCGAGGCCACCTGCAATCTCCATGTACCTGACCTGGATGCTGGGTTAGCAGGAGTCGAGTGAGGGGTGCCTGGTGGAGTGAGGTATCTGACTGTGGTGTTCTCTCTCTCTCTCAGCGTACTGCAAGAACTCAGTGGATGGCCAGTGGTACTGCTTCGATGACAGCGAAGTGCAGCCGTTGTCGGAAAATGAAATTTGCAAGCAGACGGCATATATCCTCTTCTACCAGAGGCGTACAGCAATCCCATCATGGTCTGCCAACAGTTCTGTGGCAGGTATGGCTGGGCTGGCTTTCTTGAGGAATAGATAGGATTGAAGCAAAGGCACTAACCTGGGGCTCGGGGTGCTGCCGAGTGCCTGACCTGTCTCCCTGGTGTCCAGGGTTGCTGTCCAGGGGCTGAGGAAGGGCACAGTTAAGTTGATCGGGTGGATTGACTTGGTATCTGTGACGGGGCCAGGCAGAAGCCAGGCCATCGGGTTGGAGTGCTGGTGCAGGATCAGTGTCCTTGGGGAGTTGGGTTGCGTTCCTGGGCAGGTCCCATCCTTGCTGTAAGTAGCACGGTGCTAGCTGCTTGTCATTCG